CTCATGGGAACTCGTTCAACTATTACAAGAAATTAATTTGGAAAAGTATAGGGATTACCAAAGAGATGGCGCAAATGTACCAATTGCATACACAAAAGACAATTCCAGATACTGGATCATTGAAGTACAATTGCTCTACAAATCCTACATCAAATTGCACATTTTCAACTGCCCTTTAAGGAAAATTGAGGCGGACGTGGCTATTAAGTGCATAAATTAAAATGTTATTTTGAATGTAGTTTCGTACGTGGCGACATCTCATTGGAACTGGATCAACTATTACATGAAAATAATAAGGAAAAGTGTAGGGATTACCAAAGAGATGGCGCAAATGTACCAATTGCATACACAAAAGGCAATTCCAGATACTGGATCATTGAAGTACATTTGCTCTACAAATCCTACATGAAATTGCACATTTTCAACTGCCCTTTAGGGAAAATTGAGTCAGACGTGGCTATTAAGTGCTTAAATTAAAATGTTCTTGGGAAGGTAGATACGTACGTGGCGACATCTCATTGGAACTGGTTCAAAAAGGACAATTCCAGATACTGGATCATTGAAGTACAATTGCTCTACAAATCCTACATGAAATTGCACATTTTCAACTGCCCTTTAGGGAAAATTGAGTCAGACGTGGCTATTAAGTGCTTAAATTAAAATGTTCTTGGGAAGGTAGATACGTACGTGGCGACATCTCATTGGAACTGGTTCAACTATTAAAGAAATTATTTTGGAAAAGTATAGCGATTACCAAAGAGATGGCGCAAATGTACCAATTGCATACACAAAGGACAATTCCAGATACTGGCTCATTGAAATACTATTGCTCTACAAATCCTACATGAAATTACACATTTTCAACTGCCCTTTAAGGTAAATTGAGTCGGACGTGGCTATTAAGTGCTTAAATTAAAATGTTATTGGGAAGATAGATACGTACGTGGCGACATCTCATTGGAACTGGTTCAACTATTACAAGAAATTATTTTGGAAAAGTATAGCGATTACCAAAGAGATGGCGCAATTGTACCAATTGCATACACAAAGGACAATTT